TTCGATTCCCGGTTCGAGGGCAAGTTTTAATTTAATTTAAATTTGTTCTCGGCCTTTGGGAGGGTTATGCGGTACCGGTCGAGTGCTTAAACCGTACATGGAGGACACGGTCGAATTTCTAAGGCAAGCACGAATTATAAAAATCTTATACTTGACGCTGGCTAATGCACAAACCGTGCTAGAGCCATAAAAAAAAATTATCTCATGTGTTCAAGAAGAACTAAATTTAGCTTATGTCACACCATATAGAAACAATTGGTATAGACTTGACAGTTTTATCTATGTTACATTTATATATTATCTATGTTAGGTATAGATAAAATTAGATTCTTAAATTATTAGAGTAATACACACAGCAGGACGTGCAAATGATCTACCAAAATATTTCTGTTTCTTACCCTTACTATGTGATAAAAAGGGACAGAAATATTTAGCGTTTTCAGGCGATTTATTAAAAAAATATGAAACTAGTAAAAATTGTCATCGGGAGTAGATTTTTGTGATCTATGTCCGCTATATTAGTTATGTTTACAGACATTTTTGCTGATGTTACTGCTTAAAATACAATTTAAAAGTATCGATAGCATTTAGCAATGCCGTGTATTTAATTAACCGGATAGCTTTAATGACGACATTTACATAGTGAGCTACAAATCTTAATGTTAAATGTCACGCAAACAAGTCAATATTATTGTTCTAGGGAAAATTCTATTAAAAATCTTGTATTTTAAAAATTTACTACACTTGACCATTTTTATTAACGTTCATTAAATTCTTGTTTTGGTATGGGCGTATCCCGAAAAACAAGTTATCCGGTGAGCGGTCCCGCCCCTCTCGCCCGGGCACCGGGGCCTGGAAAATAGATTTTTTACCAAGCACATCGCATGATCCTCACAACTACGCGCCGGGCCGAAAATCGGGGCTTAACCACACCGCGATGCGAAAGACGTTGATACCGTATGGGGAACTGCAAAATTTAGATTTTGTACTTCAATTTCCTTTACCCCTGACATTCCTTAATTTTAACTTAGTTATTAAGCTAATTGTGTTAAGTTAACTTATTATTATATTAACGATTATTACATTACATTATCAGGATTTTTTATTTATATTCAACTAGTAGTAAAAGTATTTTTTTTATATCTTAATTTAATTTAACCTTTTTGAACCTCATGATTAATAGACCATATTTTATTTTAAAATATATTTGAACCCCTTTTGCCCCAAAAAAACCCCCGGGGGGGGGCCCAAAAAAAGTGTTTAAAAACTCCGTTTTAATATAACAGCTTTAAACGAAAATCTGGAATATGAGAGTGTGAATGTTAAATTAAAGACGAAATGGTTGTAAGTTCTACACTGATTGGTCAACATTTCTAGTCTAATAGGCGTTGAAACACGACGTAATGCGTCATGTTATTGCCTCAGTTTGACAAATCCCAATCGTAACGTTTCGTCCTGGATACTTCTCACCCCCACAGGTTATAATAAAAATTTGGCTGTCTGTAAAGTCGGTTACGAACGATAATTAATTTTACATGATAACGTCAAGAAAACATCAATGAAAAATTGCATACTTTTATGGATTGAATTATCACTAAATTATCATTATTTTGTATAATACAAAGGATTTAATTATTTTTTTTTTCGATAAATTAACATATACTCGTTAATTCAAATTTTATACAAACACTAGGAGACCGGCCAAGCGTTGCTGTGGCTAAGGTTTTGGTTATATTACATAGTAGTAACCTATTCAAGGGAAACGGTAGGAGAACACCAGTCATGGGGACCACCATGCTTTTTTGGTGGTAATGCCATTAAATTGTAATGTGAAACGTTGGTACTTTCAACACAGCGCCATCTGTTAGAATTGTGACTATCAAATAATAAACAAATATTTTGCAATAAAATAATATTGCGGGTATAAATTGAGATGACAGCTATCCTATCTTTTAAGTTAGATCAAACTGCACACGGTGTGCAAACTTACACGTGACACGTAATTTATATATATTAAGATTATTACAATATTTTTTAAATAAAAAAACAAATATATGAGATTATATCGCTAATCAAATTCTTAAAATGCAAGAATTATTTACCTTTTTTGTTGCAATTGTTGTAATAAAGAATGGAATTCGGCTCTATCTCTATCGCTTGTTGCGCGCGCTTGCTGCACGCTCGGCTCAGGCGGAACGAGAGTGAGTCATGTTTTTTCGTGCGTGAAGCCGCCCTTCATCGATTTATAAACGTTATCACGTCAAAAATGTGTTTATTCATTATAAGTAGATATGCGGTACAAAGTGTAAGCTTTGGGAACCCTTTTAAATAAAAAAAATATTTAAAATGTGTTTATGTTACGTTCGTGTGACTTACTGTTTTAAATTGCTATATAAATGTAATAGTGTCTTAAGTAGCTGTTATTATTAAGTGACCATACTTGTGTCTAAACTGCCTTGTGTACACGGTAACAAAACAGTAAGGAGAAAAGCAGGAAAGTTCACTCGCGCCTCACCACTTTGTTTCTATACGCTTCTCTCAGTATTTAATGCGCGTGTTAATGATAGAAGAATTTAGATGTTATGTCTAATAAGCTAAGCAAAAATCGTAAAACTTGATTACACAATTATTTATAGAATGCAGGTTATTTATTAAAAGTACGGTAGAAAAGAATCTTGTAGTGTTAAATAAATAGTAGCACTGTGTGATGTAAAGTGTATTTTATTAAATTATATTTGTAAAGCTTCTGCAATAAATTATTTAATTATTTCTGAATTTTAATCATCAATTGATATTATATTTCCCCCTTATCCAATAATTTCCATTTAACTGTTCATCTTATATTATGTGAAATAAAGTTTTTCTTTGTTTCTTTTATTTCCAACTAACGGACCCGACAGACGTTGTCCTGTACACACATCTTATATAGAAAATTTCAAACTTAAAAAACAAACAAAAAATCTAGATGTAAATAATCTAAACTATTCTCGAATACACTGAAACATTCATCAAAATCGGTCCACCCATTTATTGCATTACGGCTTTGTCGGGAAAGATTTGATCGTCTGGGTCGTGTCATTTTTAATGATAATATCGGCACGATAAGCTAATGGAAACTAAATCTAAATAAACTCATCAACTTCTAATTTTTTCAAATTTTCAATCACACTTAACCATAGATAACATTACGTTTAGCTGTCAGTTGCGATTTGTTATAACACTTTTAACAAATTAACGGCTAGACTTTCTGTTTGTTGCGTGGTATCGTTTTATGTCACGTCCATGGAAACAGGATAAGAATGTCCGTCTCCTGGTTCTAAGCTACCTCCCCAGCAATTTTCAGCCAAATCGGTTCAGCCGCTCTCGAGTTATTAATAGTGTAACTAACACGACTTTCTTGTATTATAACTAGTCTGGCCATAAATACTGTTACATAAAAACTTTTCTTTTTTTCTACTTTTTGATTATTTTGAATTTGGAACACTTGTATTATTGTAAAAACTTTCAATTTTGCGCCATTTCACATATTTTTCGTGTTCTGTATCAAATTACAATATGGAATGAAGTGTTAAAGAAAATTGAATTGCAGTGATCGCCTTGCACAAAGTGGGTATGGAGCCGTCGGTCATATTCCAGAAACTTCAAAAGCTTGGTATCAGCTGTATGTTCGTACTATCAATATTTTAGATACAACAACACTTCGTCTGTCGAAGACCAGAAAAGATCGGGGCGGCCGCATGCTGTTAGAACTACAAAGGCTAATGCTAACGCAGGAATTTGTCCAAGACATTGCTCTTAAACTCTGCCTTTAATAAATAAGTATGATAATAAACAAAGTTGGAGTCGTATGTTCGGGTCGTCGCCTGGGATTTGTAACTACACTACTAAAAATGTGCACAGGCACATTTAGACAAGTTCAAACTACATATTATAAGGTATGCAAACGATATTTTAACTCGTTTAATTTTTATAAATAAATAAATAAAATATGTTTGTTATGGAACATAAGATACAGGTATCACTTATTCCACATTAAATTTGAATCTGTAGGCATCCCTACTCATCGGCAAAGAAGACAGAGGGTGTAGGGCAAGAGAAAAAGCCGGCGTAGAAAACTCTCGGTAGGTACTCTTTTAAAACAGCAAATCATCAAACAACACTTATTTTAAAACAAACATAGCAAATTAATTAGAAATGGGCTTGATTAGATAATCAAGCCCATTTATAAACTAATGCTTCAAATAGTTAAACAGTCCAAGTTCTTAATTAGTCTTTTGTACTATCCTCTGGACTTGGACCACGTATTAAGACTTACGAAAATTCGATAGTGAAACCAATTTTTTAACTTAACTAGATTTCAAGTAAAAGGAATGTCACTAACCTCAATATGTCAAAAATTCCGAATCGAAGTTAAAACCAGCGCAATATCGGCAAAGTTTAATTCGTTAAGCAGAGCAGAGGTTCAACTAGTTCTATTATTCAAAGTTTATAGATTATTGAAGTGAAACTTCTTTAGGCGCATGAGGGTAAATTTTTTTCGGAACGTCACGAAGATGTGCAGCGTTTTTGTCGAAGAAAAGCGATTGAGAGAGAGAGTGAAATTCTAAATCTATAATTTTATAACACACGCACATTTTTTATTTTTTAGAATTGTTTTTCTCAAAATGCTTGTTTTATTATTCGGGCCGCGTATACTTTCGTTTTTTCCAATGAATAAGTAAAGAAGCGATGTTAGTAGTCGATCGAAAGTCTCTGTTCTGAATTTATCAATTTACTGGTAAACTGTATCTAACGATACCAAATACTCATAAATTAAACATTTACAACCTAAAGAAAAATGCATTGATGTATTCATAATATAAAAATCGCTCGTATAGTATCTAATAACTAATACCTTTACTATAATTGTAAGACATGACTCAATATAGAGTTAATAAATTATCGCGTAATTATCAGATAATTACTCTATCGATATGAATTCTATCAGTGAGATAGCGGACATGGCTGAAACACGCCGTGGTTACATATTTGGTGCATTCCTGTCAGGAGTTTTGTGTGTTCTATTAATTATTGTGGCCATCGCCAGCGAAGGATGGGTATGTGACGTCTAATTCCTTGGAACGAAGAATGCTTATACTGTTGCGTATGTTTTTCCTTAACCCACAACCGCCTACCATCCAGGTACTATGATAGGCATGAGCTGTCATTCGCCTTTTTGACTATGTGCGAGTTTTTTTATAAATTTTAACCATGACATTACTACTAATAAGATAACAATTAGTCGAGTAACATTTAGAGTTATCATCACCTGTATATTAGATTTAATACCGAAATATATAAATTATTGTCAAAGAAGTTTTTTGACACCAATGAAACTGTGGATTAATTATTTCACTGACTAAAAGTCTTTAAATAACATATGGGTATATAACATAACTCATGGTAGATAGCAATAAAAAATGTTAAATATAAGCTGATTACAAATAATAATCGTTATTGGGCCATAAAAAAAATGCGCAACATGCCAATATTTTAACAAACTCGGGCACTTTGATATAAAACAAACATTAAATTCAGCAGAAAATAAAAACAGGACCATAAAATAGATTCGGTCACGTAGTCGCTTTAAATTTGTGTAGAAATAAACTGGGGTTAGGGACGTGATTCGATTGCCTACACCTTTTTGTATTTAGCGTGAATGTTTATTGGAATAACAATATTGGGGAAGGTCGGGACCCTTCGTACGGTTTTCACATTTTATTTTTTTTATTTTTTTTATTTTTCCATGAATCAATCATCTGCAAGCTTAAATTTATAATCTAACTATCTGAGATTCATATAAGAAAATGACAAATGATTTCATCTGATGGTTCAACCATAATTATGAATTAAACTAAATCTGGAAAACGTACGAATCTGCCCCATCAACGGGGCACCTTCGTACAGTGTTGTGGGTACCTTCGTACGCTGTGGGGCAGTTCCGTACGTGCGATTATAACGACACATATAAATCAAAATTCATTTATTAACAATGAAATTAAACACAAAAATAAAGATTTAACTTCTATTAAACAAAAATAAAATACTTTTCTTATAGTGAACAAAAATTACATAGCTTTTCTTAAGAAAAACAAAATTTAATTAGTTAGGTATCTTAAATTTAGAATCACATTTTTAATCTTTGGTGCGGATTAGCACTTCTTATTTTCGGGTGTGGCAGTATAAATTCGTGGTTTTCCTGGCCGTCGTCGTCATTTTGTTTGTTTTATTACTTCTTACAACATGCGGATGGGGTCAAACGCTTCTGGTGTCAAAACTGACTTCGAAGGAACTACTATTTGATAGATTGGTAAATTATTCAAAGCATCTGGTTCACAGGCATCAAAATCAACCTTAATAAAGATAATAAAAATAGGTATTAATATATATTTATATCGAGGATAGCAATGATAGCAACAATTAGCACACTAACACAATCTTTCCTACCTACCAGAGGGTTTAGTTAAGATGCCTTAACAGTAGTGTATGTAGCAAGTCGAAAACTTAATTTGTATGAAAATGACAGTTCGTGTCGACAAAATATTTTCGTACAAATTTAGTTGTACAATTCGTTCAAATGTGCCCCATCTAGTGCTGTCCGAAAGTACCCCACTAACTGAATAACAACAAAATATAACTTATTTTAATATTAATAGGAAAACGTCCTAAATTAAGTATTGGAGACGTATCTTAAGTATATTTTGCTAGTTACTGATAGAATACTCTACACGAAAACTTATTTTATCTACGGTAACAAGAGACAAAAACATTGATCAAAAAATTACTTACCGAGCGCGAAATCACGTCCATGCCTGTAACTTCACTCTCATCGGTGCGAATTTCGCGAAACTTCGTTGATGTATAGTTCGTACCTCAACTCATGCACACATACAAAAACAAGACTGTACTTTGTTTCGTTCAAGTTTTATTTTGACTGTATGAATGTGCCCCGCGTACGAAGGGTAACGATCTTCCCCTAATGGATTTTAATTATCTAACTCTAATTATTGTCCGCGTGAATTTGCGTTCGAAATGGCTTCTTTAATACTGTGCACAGATTATTGTAAATATGTACTTACCACTCTGTCTTTTGATTGTCGAGTAGCTTAAATATACAGACGGTGGGAAGCAAGAAGCGGATTAAGAAGAAAACTTAGCCATTGTCTTTTATATCATGAAACTTACATTTAAAAAAATAATCTGTTTAAATTCAATTATTGGTTATCTTGTTATTAGTTATTATTGTAAAATAAAACAAAATTAGCACAGGATATTTACAAAAGGAACCACAATCAACTCAGCTAGCACAATACAATAACTAAAATATACTAAACTAAATCTTATAATTAACTTAAATAAATAAAGGTGGGTGCCAGGAGGATTTTGGTTTATCCTACCAAATCTATTATATGTGTTTACAAAACAAATTATGTCGTAATGTATAACAAATTGTTATTTTATTAATTCGACACCTACTTTGAGGGCATTTCAAAAAGGTAAAAGCAAAGCTATATAAAAGAAAAAACATTTCAAATAGCGTCACAACAAAATAAAACTTAACCTTAGAATAATAATTGAAGAACACATACCCCTTACAAAGTTTTAACAAAAATTTCATATAACACAAGTAACAATTTATAACTCAAAAGCGTCCAATACACGGCAATCACGGTTCGTGTCGGTCGTTTTATCCCTACCCTCATCCTATTAAAATCTGTTAAACCCTTATACATCTAATTGTTAAAGGCTTTTTTATATACATTCTGTAGTTTTCAAACATACGTAGAGAATTCGTTTAATATATCTAATTTTCAGACAACTGGACGCAGGTGCTACGACACTTGCTATTCATAAGCTGTTGCCCGTCCACTCCAATCACGTTTTACATGAAACTACGTCCCAAAAGAAATATATTTTGCTTTGATATGTGTTTTTATGAACGGCAGTGCCCCAATGGTGACACACGGGTGACATAATAAGATCCGATTCAGTAAAGGACAAATATTTGTTAAAACTTAATAACATTAACTTTTTAATCTGTTTATATGACGTTAGTTTAATACATATTTTGTACAATTAAAATATGTTGAATCTTCGATATAGTACATTTCTAATTTAACACAATCAAAACACCGTTTATATCATTGTTCTAAATAAATTCAAGCATCCTTAAGGATCTAATTAATAAAAGCCGTCTTAATTAGCCATTTATCCTTTGTCCGTCTGTTGAGACGTATAAGAGAACAATAGTATTTAGGGATTGAGGAACTTCAATCTCTTGATAACAATAGAGACTAAAGTTTTATAGATTGAAATCGATCTTTTTCAAGGAAAGGCGCAGACTTCTTTCAATTATATTATTGCTAGCTGATTTTCTTTCTGTCCGTACAAGGTTTCTTTATAATGATATACATTATAGTTGAGCAGAACCTTAAGAGTTACAATTTCCTGATTATTCAATATCATAATAATCCAATGGCCGCAGAGCAGTGTTGGCCTAGTGGCTTCAGCGACTCTCATACCTGAGGTCGTAGGTTCGATCCCCCGCTGTGCACCTGGACTTTCTTTCTATGAGCGCATTTAACATTTGCTCGAACGGTGAAGGAAAACATCGTGAGGAAACCGACATGTCTTAGACCCAAAAAGTCGAAGGCGTATGTCAGGCACTGGAGGCTGATCACCTACTTGCCTATTATATTTAAAAATGATCATGAAACAGATTCAGCAATCTGAAGTCAATACCGAAAGAGGTTGTAGCGCCACTGATTTATTTATTTTAATAAACCAATGGCGCTATAACCCTATACGTAGTTGGTCCCAAAGTTCTGTCACTGGCACATTATTTCTATATTTCGAGCAGGATTTTATAAAAAAGTTATTGCATTCTATTTTGGAATGTTTGACTATTGTTTTAAAATAAAAAACAATAACTTTCAGTAAGTTTTCACGACGGAGTGGACATTGAAAGAAGACCGAATAGTTGTTATTGTGTTGCACCGCTGTGGGCACTCGCCGAGTACCATTTTCAAGTTGCTCAAAAATTTTAATATAACGCTTAGGTTTGTGTACGGTACTATTGATAGGTACCTTGAAGTCTCCAGTGTTGAGGACAAGAAAATAACTGGCCGGCCACGCTCCGCAAGAACACCAGCAGTAATCAAAGCTATCAAAGCGCGGATAGTAAGAAATTCTGTCCGAAAACAGAAGTTGATGGCTTTGCAGATGGTTGTCAGTAGGAAAACAATAAAAAAAGGTTTTAAATGAAGATCTTGGTCTACGAGCATACAAAAAAAAGTGGGAACTTACTTAATGCTCGTCTAAAAGCAATAAGGCTTAAGAGATCGCGGGTGTTGTTTAAGCGGTACGCGAAAAACCGACACCGTGATATCCTCTTTACGGACGAAAAAAATTTCGATAATGAAGAGAAGTACAATAAACAGATTGATACAGTGTACGCTAGGAGTTCTGAAGAAGCTAAAAATAAAGTTCCAAGGGTACAACATGGACATCATCCATCATCAGTAATGGTCTGGTTGGGAGTGTCCTATTACGGGCTAACTGAGGTTCATTTTTGCAAAAGGGGGTCAAAACCAGAGCTAAAGTGTACCGAGAGACGGTTTTGGATCGCCTTGTCAAAGACCTGTCCAGCACCCTATTTGCGGGACATCACTTCGTGTTCCAGCAGTACTCTGAGCCTGCATACAAAGCCAAGACCACTAAAGCCTGGTTTGAGCGTCAAAACATCGATTTAATTAGACATGAGGATTGGCCTTCCTCCAGTCCGGACCTTAATCCTTTGGACTATAAATTTTAGCAGGTCTTAGAGAGGAAGGTCTGTGATACACCCCATAAAAATTTGGAGAGTCTGCAGTCGTCTTTAAAAAAACTCAGTCACTGAAATCGACATGAATATGGTGCGTGCTGCGATAGACGACTGGCCGCGGCGCTTAAGGGCCTGTATTAAAAATAAGGGAGGTCATTTCGAATAAGTTTATGCTATTTCTATTCCTTAATTAATGTACTATGAATTGATATATCACTCATTAAAAACTGATCAGTACTTTTGTTTTTATGATTATTTCCATTTATGACAGAACTTTGGGACCGACTACGTATAGGCCACAGAAAAAGGCAAATTTAAAGCTTATATTCCTCATTACATTCGCATAACAATCTCACCCTGAAAATCATAAAAACAAAAAATGATAAGATCTTCAAATTTGATTGGAGTTCTAGAAAGCAGTTGTATTTCTGAAACCACAAATATAATAATAATTAATTCCTATATTTGACAGGTGGTGTCAACCGCAAGTACGACCGACCAGTTCAAAGACAGTACCGTACAATACGGTCTGTTCCAAGGGGAGTTGGTTCTGAATCTGCTTGTGACACCTTCACACAACAAGCTCTATAGTTGGTACATTTCTTTGTATTGGCTTTCGTTTACTTGTTGGTTATTTGGAAAAAACATTGAAAGAAATAGTATAAAAGAAGAATACATATGTAAATATGTGTAGCAAAGACATTGCAAAATATATTTATTCTATTAATTGTCTGTAGACAATTTAACATTACAATGTAGGTTAACTAAGGACATGAGAAATTTATTTCTTCATAAGCATGTGACTATTAACCCTCCTTAGAGTCTATCACGGCGACGACATTTGTGTGTTCTATTTGTATCAACTTAGCTAAACTAAACACTACTTTTACCTTTTACCGACATAGAAATGTCTATTTCCTCCGTTGTTATCATATAATATTGGTTTTCAGTGACTTGTGTATCTGACGTGAACGCGTGCGCAGTTAGTTGCAAGACTGAGGCTCAAGCAAGAGAAGAAGAAGTTAGTAGAGTTGATTTTTTGTGTCGTTATTCCTATGGTACTTTAATTTTTTGATCCTTCCATCCCATTTTTAAAACATAGTGTCTGTACGGCAATCTCGCAGATTATGTAAGACAAAAATTGAGCGTTTAAAACATGGTAAATTAATTGTATTTATATTTTTCTATTTAAACCCGCCGACGAAATATATATTTTCGTTAATTTTATCATTCAGACTAATGTTTAAAGGTATATAATAATAAATTCATACTTTTTTCATTTATTTGGTTTCATGACAGGTACGCGCTCTTTCCAAAGGCTACAGACCGAACCAGGCATGCGTGTCTGTAACCACTGTCGATACAAGCAATCCACGTACGTATAAAGATGTTCCTTACCCCTTTAGGATATTTTTTTTATGCAAGATGTGCAGCGATTTATGCCTTAAATTCAGATGTTTCGAGTTAAACGTATATTGAGCGTTTTACCACTTGTAAAACCAATTAAAAAAAGTCATTTATTACAAATGAAATTTTATAAAAACAAATAGAAATAAGGTAACAGTAATTGTAAAAATATATGTTTGATATACCTTTAATTTCAGTTGAGACCCCACCAGTAATAGCGTACAGTTTGTACATAAGTCTGGTCACGTTGTTGATTGTGCATGTAGCCGTGGCCTCATGCGCGGCGGGACTCGCTATTCTCAATGCGACCAAGAATCCTACTGAACCTATATTTGGGTTGCCAGGTACATTCGCATTTTTTTATTTTCAACAGCGTTAAGTCTGTGTTATATATCCTTGGTATAGCCTTCCTCGATAAATAGACTATTGAAGACAATAAATGAAGAAAGATTTTTTTCAATTTGTAGTAGTAGTTCCTGAGATAGGTGCGTTTGACGAAAATGTTTTATTTATTGAAGTTATACTTCTTTAGGCGCGTTATGAAAAAATTATGAGAGTGAAATTTTACGATGCGCGCGCACCTGTGACACAAAATTGGGAGTGTGATTATAGCGTGCGCGAGCGAGATAGGAATAAGACAATCTACAAGTAAAAAGAAATAGAAGATGCGTGAAGTTCGTATGCCAAGAATTTTGAATGATCATAATGACATTTGTCATTTACCTTTTAAACAAATAAAGGAGTTTTATTTATTGACTATAATGACTCCTTTTCCAGTCTTTGATTATTTAATTGTAATTATTAATTATTTGCATGCAATCAAAAACTATTTTTAATAATGCCAAAGAAGTATAACTTCTTACGCGCGTACATAAGTACACGTACCCTTTTTTTTATTTTATGGCAATATGTTTCGATATAATACGAATAATACTAAATATCTTGTCATCTACATGCCAATGTTTGCTTCGTAAACCGCATTGGATTCTAAAGCAGATTTTCTTTCTTTAAAGTCTAATATAAAACCCCTTTATGTGCTAGAATCGTTTTTCTGGAAAATTAATAAAATACCTCATTACGGCAACTTTACCTAAGAGCGTTTAATGACTTTATCAGATTGAAAATACAGCAATCAACTTTCTTAACTCCATAATTTCATCTACGCAGCTGTTTTCAAACTCAATGTTGGATTAGTTCTGTTCACAAATGATATTATCTGAAAATATATATGATTTTGGTGATTTGAGGAGGATGTCAACAATCCTTTTCTTCAACAAAGACAACATAATAATGTTTGCAGGATGTTTATGGACCAACGTGGCAGCGGCAGTCGTCGGTGTGACGTTCCTACTGTTCTTTGGCGTATACTGGGCTGTGTCTGGTTGGAATGACCACCTTGCCTTCTCTTATACAGCCCTAGGCTTATTGAGGCCCTCACCACACCTTGGGTTTTCATATTGGTACTATATTTTTTTGAATTCAGGAATAAATTTGTTGAATAGTAGTTAACTTTGTACTGGTACAAATAGAACTTAATAACGTTAAGTATTGTCTCTGATGTACAACTTCTAAGAAATATTGAAGTTATACTCTTAGCTTTTGTTCTTAATGGCATGAATCGATATAAGGATACACATAGAATGATTTGTTTGACTGAAGTCGCTAAACCTGCAAGGGACAAACACATCACAGCGGTTTTTTATTGTAGTTGTAATTCTTATTAATGTTTATACAATAGTCGCCGAGCCTTGTAGCATCCCCCCGATAATTCGATTTCTTCTTAACTGGGCACAACAACAACACATCTGAAATTAGCGCTTTCATTATAGAAACATTTTAGTGTCACAGGGCTTCTCTTGTTCCATTATAGGCCCTAACAAAAGTAGTCAATAGCTGACAAATACTTTATTACACTTGGCGTCAAAAAAATCGCACCTTTCTTAAAATTCGTGTCAAGCGGTTATAACTTCTAAGATCCTTCCTGTACCCTATCATTATTCGTATCATTTAAAAGCTCAATTAATAAGCTTTCAAAAAAATTATCATTTGTTTACGGAAAATCAAAAACCACAAATCATCAGCACTTTAATTAAAAAGTGGCGATGTACGCGTTTGGAGGCTCACTAATTATACCACCCTGGACGCGTATATAACGAGGGGGTAAAACTCAATGATGGGTTATTCGCTATCCAGACGTCACAGAGGTCACTCCTGAAGAGCTTCGACAAGAAAAAACTCAGTGAAAATGGATACCATGGCAAAGAAGCAGCTCAAGTGGTGGCCCTACTGCAAATCGGACTACGGCAGGTTGAAGTTGCTCGGCAACTGAAAATCAGCCGATTTCGAGTGCAACGGGTATACCAACGGTTCCAAGAAACTGGAGGTTATATCAGGAGACATGGATCCGGGAGACGTCGCTGCACTACCGTCAGAAGTGATCGCTCCATTGTGTCGACGTCTTTGCGGAACCGCTTCTTCAACGCTGTGGAGATGCAGCAGCGGCTTTGAGCTACTCGAAGGACAGCTGACAGCGTCTCCACTATCAGAAGAAGGCTGTAAGAGAAGAATTTCATGCCCCGGAGAGCTGCTACAGGCCCCCTATTGACTGCCATCCACCGGACGAAAAGGAAGCGATTTTACGAAACGCACGTGCCGTGGACATTCGACCAGTGGAGGAATGTCCTGTTCTCCAACGAAACCCGAGTGTGCCTGTAAACCAACAACATGCGTAAGAGAGTCTACAGGCGGCCAGGGGAGCGTTTCACACCAGCCTGCACCGTGGAAACCGTCGGGTATGGAGGAGGATCCTGCATGTTCTAGGGCGGTATTTCTATCGACGGCAAGACAGACCTCGTGTGCGTCTCCAGAGCTGGAGATGGTCGCGGTCAGGGTTCTCTGACTGCCCACCGGTATATCACCGAAGTTTTGGAGGAGCATGTGGTCCCATGTGCAGGTATTGTCGGCACCAACTTCGAGTTCATGCCGAACATTCGAGCCTCAATTGTCAAAGACTACCTACGTCGAGTTGGCATCAAGGTTATGGACTGGCCAGCAAGAAGCCCCGATCTCAATCCTATCGAGCACCTCTGGGACGAGCTGAAACGGCGAGTTCGGGCCCGTAATCCAGCTCCTGCCACTCTCGATGAGCTTCGAGATGCCGTCATCGAGGAGTGGGACAACATTCCCCAGGAACACGTCGTGACGCTCATCAGGTCCATGACTGACCGCTTGGAAGCTGGTTGGAGAGATAGAGGAGGCAATACTAAGTTTTAAGACTAATTTTTAAGGATTGTCATTGTTTATTTTTAATTTTTGTATTGTTCCTTTTATTTGTAATTTTGATCAGAATACACATTGTTTCACATTTTCACAGAATTTTCTTTTTTTATGGGGGTGGTGGCCAATTTCCTACCGTTTTCAAATAAGGGATTTCATTAGCTTTCAAATGATACTAATAATGATAAGGTACAGGAAGGATCTTCGGAGTTATAATCGCTTGACACGAATTTTAGGAAAGGTGCGATTTTTTTGACGCCGAGTGTATTATTACAATATAAAATAGCAATATAAATTTTCAAGACAAGTTCAAATGACGCGCAATGTGACATGACACAAATTGTTATTTGTTCTTGCTTTTCATCTATAATAAATTACCCTACAGGCTGTTACTCGTATCGTGCCTCTGCTCTCTGGTAAATATAGCCCTTCTCTGGACGCGCAGCTACTTACTTGAACGAGATCCACCACCACCTACCATTAAGCTTGAGAATCATTCAGATGGTACCGTCTTCCTTTATTGATTCGTCAAAAATAAAAGCAATCACAATTTACAGGCACAACATTATTTATTAATTTTAAACTTGGATTCTATGAAAATTTTCCTGCTTAGATGGATATGGTGAATTATTAACTTAATTATTCGTAGAGAAAATTGTATTTTGTTTTAAAATATTTTAAAGTTTTGTAAGTAAAAGACCACTTCATTTTATTACAATAGCTTATCTAGTCTCGTTTTGTATTGATTTACGAATGTCACATTCTTTTGTAATTCTATTGTGATGTGGGATATGGATATTTAAATAAAATCATTAAAATATTCCTCAAAGGAGTCAGTCTTATACTATTCAAGACGATACAGATCTTTAAAATTAAATAATAATTCTACAATTGGTTTTAAATTTGTGATTCAAATACGATTGAAGATTAGATAATGACCTACAAGTAATATCAATATTATATTGCACAGACCAAGCTTTGCACACATTTATAACTCAGAATTTAGGTCGCATATATTTGCTGCGATTTCTTCATATATTTTAATATGTGCAATTTTATACTCTTGTTTAAAATTATCTGTGCTTACATCTATATTTCAACAACGAACAAGTTTATTTTCTAATAGATTGGGTTGTTTTTGACTATTTCTAAATCAATTAGGATATATTAGTCATGAAAACTAGTATTATTACTTCAAAAATACTATGAGCAGGAAATAATTTAATAGTTTCATTTAAAAAAAAATGTAATTTAATAGCATTTATATAAATAACCATGTTTAATTTTTAATTCGTTTCATTAATAAATGTGCGTAGTGATTACAAGGCAATTCAGAGATTATTGTACATCATATAAAGAGTTAGCTTAAATTATAAAGATACAATGTGTGGTTCAACGTTAAGTTCCTCTTAAGGACCATGTATGTATTTGTTTTAAATAAACAATGTAAATATATTTAAGTTTTTAAATCAATTTTGTTGTTTATCTTTAAAAAAATTTTTTTTTTTTAATCAAATAAAATAGTCCTTCAAAAAAAAACACACAATATCTCGTGGTATAAGTACAAAAGTACCCGATTTAGCTCAAAGAGAAAAGAGCGCTCATTCACTGAGCTACTCACTGAAGTAATTGAATTTTATCTCTAAAATGAACCGAATAAAAACACGAGACCTAAGCTTTGTGGCCAACAGCGTGCTATTTATCTGTATCTCTGGGTACTTTTAAAACAGAAAAGCACAAAATTAAAACCAATCTCTCCTTCCATCCAAGTAAAGTTGATGTAATCCAAATTTTTTATTGGTTTTCAAATAATTTTTTTTTATATTAATTAATAGTTTAAAATCAATAAATCTGTCAACTGCAGTTCTTTCTTCCCACCATGAGTGGTGCTAATAAGTATAGCTTTATTTTAGCTCTGTATTTTACATCGCTTCGGAGATAACTTCCTAACACTACCTTTGCTATGAATGAATTATCTATCTCTCAGACTGAATCTCAAATTCTGAGTGCAGTACTTGAGTCTCGGACCAGCTTCGGGCCAAACACAACTGTGAAACGAATTCACCTGCCTAATTAATCTGATTTTACTTTTAAAGAACGTGAAAAGGTCCAATATTAATTAGATGTTTGGAAGTTTGTAAGGGTTGTTTTTGAATAAACTTAAGAACGTTCTGGTAATGACATGGTATCATAACGAGTCAACTTTCTTTGTTGAAGTAGGCGTATTGAGTCCTCTTTTAGCTTAGGGTTATAAACTTGGACGGTTTTCTCATTTGCTGCTTCGTTATAAATGTTCATTTAAGTTGAAATAGGATGACAGAAACATTTTCAAAATAATGCTGATATTTACCGGTTAGTTCTTCAAAGGTACTTAACACAATTTCATGCCAAACAAAAGCTTTATATCTTTTTTAAGCACGAAATTGCAGACCTCTTCATCTTCTCTTAAAAAATATTAATCCCTCACTTTTGTCTATTTAGACAAGACTATACTCCCATGTAAACTTTATTTTTTTCAGACAAAAATTGTTTCATTTGAATAGAGATTTAGACATTTCTACATTTGACATCGACTTTTGTAATCTTAATTTTTATTGATCACCCTTCTGTGCCTGCAGAAATAATAATTAGTCGTCAAAATCGAATAACATAGTTTCCCGCCATTTTCGTTAAACATTCCAAGAAAGTTGTCGACTGCAATCTGAGGGGAAATCTTTATTATTAAGAACACTTCCCGATAATGGAAATACAATTCCTCTCACGTTACTGACATTGCGCAAAAAACAAAAAGTATTTCTAGGTCACGATAATAAAACTATTCCAGAGAACTCGAAGTTCGTTAATTATTCCGCAGGTGTTCCATCGCTCTCTCCCGAAGAATATTAATTTAAAAGGTTTTTCAAATCTATACGAATGTGTGTTAATTTAGAAGATCGTTCTTTGTTTACACATTGAGTCGAACGGCTAATGCCTTGTAGGGACTGGATAATATCTTTTTCTATTATACTATTTTGTATGAGGTCCTACAGCTAGAAGAATAAAATATATACCTATGTCATATGCATATTTTAATCAATGTGACATTTGCTAGTTAGTTACCTGGGGGCATGGCAGTGCGCCCGACATCCGTTTTTTCTGTCCCTCAAAGCGATTCATTCGAAAATTCCATACCCTTATTTTTATAAATAAATAGATAAAATAGCTACAACATATTTCAAAGTTTTGTGGCTTTTATATAAAAGTACACAAACGCTAAGTCTTTCCCACTCTTTAAACTATAGTTTTTAAACGGCCTTCCGCTACAATCCTTGTTCAAAACATCTCTTGAACTTATAAGAACCGAGGACTGAAAATATCTCTATACTTTATCCTCCTTTTATCGAAGCTGTACTGTTAGTTTATATGGCTGGCCAGATATTTCGTATTGATCCACAGTTATTTATAAGTTCGAAAACTTTTCACAAATTCTAACTTTTATTTATTTATTTAGTTATTAAGCTTACGACATCACAGACAGTACTAAATCTACTAATTATTTTACAAAATCTTACATCTAAAATGTGTGACAATTAAAGTACAAATAAGTTTCACAAAAAAAATAGAAATTTAAAATTTAAAAAAAAAATACAATTAATATATATGTTACAAGATAAACTTTAAAACAGCTCTAGATTACATTCATTTATTCACTACTATAAAAAACGCTTTCGCAATCGAAGCTCTTCAAGATACAACTTTACCATTTACAAATTATTAAATCTGTTGGGTAAAATGTTTAACTATTAATAATAAATCTGGAAACTGAACACTCGTTAACAGTATGAAATATAAACCATACTTTCACAAAGACAGTAACTAGACAGTGTTTTGATACGTCTTTTCTCAAGCCCCGTTTCGTAATGAACAGAATAATGAGGAAGTTTCTGCAAGAGCTTTACAGATTGTATAACACTTCAAAGAGTTTAATAATGCAACTGAGTCGTGTCTAGGAGGGTAAGTTTTAGTTGTATGGAGATTAATATACAGAGAAAATTTATATATTATTATTTTAGTACTTGTAACATACATATTATGACTGAATTATTATAATAATTTGCAGCACCTATGGAATATTTCACTGTAAAAACCGTAACATTATAGTTGTAAAATGCGAAAATGGTCATTGGAATTATAATACGAATAACTTTTCGTATATTACAAGATGTACTGAAGCACTGTTCGGGCTGAACGTTTCGGCACGAGCCGAAATAATTCCAGGTTTCATCCACACCACCTCGATAGCTGGAAGTCTTCCACAGACTGATTGTCTTGACAATTCCTTTTGCGATCTGGCGAGCTGTGGAATTGATTTCCACTGGTCCACCTCCACAGTGCAGATCTTTTCTGTGAGATACGACCTCCAAAAAAAAAAAAGGGGTGCGTGTACTTATGTACGCGCGTAAGAAGTTATACTTCTTTGGCATTATTAAAAATAGTTTTTGATTGCATACAAATAATTACAATTAAATAATCAAAGACTGGAAAAGGAGTCATTATAGTCAATAAAGTTCAGTTTACATTTGAAAAATTAAATAAATAAATATTTATTAATATTATATTTATTACTATTTTCTAATATTAATTAGTATTGATTTAAATATTCAATTTAAATCACTTCTGATTATAATTCAGACGCACATTTATAATTCGCACTTGTATAATGAAAACAAAATGAAAACACGTGTTTTAAATGTAGAAACTCAAAGCATGTGGATAAATATTATTAATATAAATACACAGTGAACAGAGGCGGCGTGCGTGCCAACATGCGCCACTAACTTCATACTGATAATTTTGTGTAACGGTGCGCGCGCATCGTAAAATTTCACTCTCATCAATTTTTCATAACGCGCCTAAAGAAGTATAACTTCAAAAAGAGAGGGACCTTTAAGGGATAGATATTTTTTATTATTATTATCATAATATCTATCCCAGCTCACTTCCAAACATCACATATTGACCTGTCAACCCGTAGTTGTTAGTAGCGCTAGTAATCAATGTGCCGTGTATCTGCACACGATGAAGTGTCGGACTGATTACATATACATGGAACTTGACGTGTTTGACAGCGGAGTGCAAGATATAAACTTACGATATACACCTACACCAGAGTGGGCACATACTGGGGTAGGTGTAGACACAAATCCAAACATTCATACCCTGATGGGATAAATATCCGACACGACCAGAGTATCAAGAACAGTAGCACAGAATGAACTGAAAATAAAAATTTGAGCGTTTGGTTAGGATATTTTGTATAGTCTTCAGTACTTTTTAATGATGAGAATATTCTTAATGTTTTGACTCGCGTTACCACTGTAGTTTTGTTTTCCTATATGCGATCCCGTAACCCGTTACTGGCAAGAAAAATTGTTTTTGATTCTATTTCTGAGTAGTGCCAATCTTTGTATTTTCCAATCCGAATAAGTCTTTGACGATAACTCCGGACCTATGCTTCCGGACGTGGCTATAATCAGTAGGATTG